ATATCCCAAAAATGTATGTTTTTATGTCCCGAATCAATCACTTCGCACGTATTAATATAATTTATTTTATTAAGGAGAGTAGGACCCACTACCCCTCGTCCTCATCTCCATGAACCGAAACAGAATGTGATTATAAATGTACACCATAGCCGTTCACTCCACATCCGGAAACTATCATAACATAGAAAAAGAAAAAGAATATTATTATACAACAATAGATGGAGGGAAAGGAACAAGATGTATCATTAGGAGCCAACAAGTTCCCAGAGAGGCAACCTCTAGGTATAGCGGCTCAGAGCCAAGACGAACCCAAGGACTACCAGGAACCACCACCTGCACCATTCTTTGAACCATCTGAACTCACATCTTGGTCCTTTTATAGAGCTGGTATAGCTGAGTTCGTTGCCACTTTTCTCTTCCTCTACATCACTATCTTAACCGTCTTTGGCGTTCAGAGGTCCCCAACTAAGTGTCAATCTGTTGGTATCCAAGGTATTGCTTGGGCTTTTGGTGGCATGATCTTCGCCCTTGTCTACTGCACTGCTGGCATCTCAGGTATATACACCTCTTATTATTTTTTTATCGTCAAATCTTAGTAAGTTAGTATTTTATTGTGGATGAGATTCAAACTCATAACCTACTTCATTCAATTTCTTAAATCATTCATTTTAATACGGTCGTATGACTCTATCACACCTCTTATTATTAAAATACTTTCCCTAACTTCTTACATGGAAAAAATTAGAGGAAAACTCATCTTCATTAATAGAGAAGGAAAGTGATTTTTTACGTGTATTCTAATGGTAAAAGTGTAATATTATTTCAAATAAAAAAGATATAAATGTCAATGTAGATTGGTTTTTTTTGTTTTTTCACATCACTTCATTCTCGCTCTAAAATTGTGTAACTATGTGTAGTTGTTCAGCTAGGTTTGTAATTTGATTAATGCTTATTTATGAACTTGGTGGGTGCAGGGGGTCATATAAACCCGGCGGTGACATTTGGATTGTTCTTGGCTAGGAAATTGTCTTTGACAAGGGCAGTGTTCTACATAGTGATGCAGGTGTTGGGTGCTATTGTTGGCGCTGGTGTGGTGAAGGGTTTCGAGGGAAAACATAGGTATACCCAATATAACGGTGGTGCTAACTTTGTTGCCCCTGGATACACCAAAGGTGACGGACTTGGTGCTGAGATTGTTGGCACCTTTGTTCTTGTCTATACCGTTTTCTCAGCCACCGATGCCAAACGTAGCGCTAGAGACTCTCACGTCCCTGTAAGTTTCTCACTATCTTCTTCTCAAGTTGTTATTTAAGGGTAAAATTTGGAGTAATAATTAAAAAAAAGTTGATTGAACTAATTGTGGATTATTGCATGAGCAGATTTTGGCACCCTTGCCTATTGGGTTCGCTGTATTCTTGGTACACTTGGCCACCATCCCCATCACCGGAACCGGTATCAACCCTGCTCGTAGTCTTGGTGCTGCTATCATCTTCAACAAAGACCTCGGCTGGAATGATCACGTAAGTACACCGATCAAACTTTTATCCTACTAGATGAAAAAGATCGACTATAATCGACTATATGAATCAAACAACATGATAATACTTATTTATCATTTTTAAATTGTTATATATGAATGACAACCTTGTTTTTAATTGTTGTTATTTCAAATTTAAGAAATTATATGGAATCTAGAATGAACCACAGACTTCTGATATATGTAATGCTAATTGATTGAATCAAAATTTGTGCAGTGGATCTTCTGGGTGGGACCATTTATTGGAGCAGCTCTTGCAGCTCTATACCACCAAGTCGTGATCAGAGCCATTCCCTTCAAGTCCAAGTGATTGAATCAAACGATTCATCTTCAATCAATGTTTGGAAGAACATCAAAATCAAACCAGCATATTTGTGGATTTTCATTTCATCACTATCCTTAAAGTCATGTGTATTATGTACTTAATTAAACGTAAAGTTTGGAATGCAATATGATGGAATATTAATATTAAATATTATCAAGCGGTGCATGTGTCACGTCATGGGCTAGTTTTCCTCAACTTTTAAGTTGGAAGAAGGATCTAGATCACGTTGATGTATGGCTGTGATTGTGTATTTTGCCAAATCAAAAATAGCACCCGAGGCATATGCACCTTTCCTTTTCAATTTCTCTCTATCCATTCTGTCCTCATTATAGCATACGCCAAAGTTCAGAAGTTGGTAGGATAGATATCCATTCTCCCTATCAATTTCATCATTCTGGATATAACGTGTCTCATTTTATATCTTAAACTAATAATATATTTATTGAAAAACAAAATCTCTTGGACTTAGTTATGTGGGAAATTCAGGAAGGTTGAGTGGGGTGATGTTGAAATTACCTAATAATGTATCATCCTCCTTTCATCTAATATTGCATATAGAGTTGTCGAATTAGTAATGATTTATGATCATAGCTGCAGTTTAACATTTTGTAATACATCAATAAGGACAAACTTGATTAATTAATCAAAGTCTTACCAATAAGAGGGTAATATCTTTGCAAAAATTTATACATAGTCAATACATTATTTATCTTTGGTTCGTGTTAATTTTTATTGAAGAATTAATGATGATAAAACTCATACACTTTCGGTGCATACATTTTTTATGTATAGATAGAGTATGTGGCAATTAGGGATGACAATGAAAACCGAACCTGCGGGTACCCGCCCGAACCCAACCCGAATTTAACGGGGAAAACCCGATGCGATTGGGTTCAGGTTTTACCCTAGTTCAAATTTCGGGTTCGAGTTTGGTATTAACAATATCAAACCCGAACCCGCCCCGAACCCAATTAATATATATAAAATTATAAAATTATATATATATAAAAGCTATATATATATATATATGCTATATAAATTTCATATATATATATATATAAACTATATAAAAAATATGTATTTTTGGGTTTTTTCCGGGTTCAGGTTACCCGAAACCCGACGGGTTCGGGGATGATATCATTGTTTTCAACCCCGCTTAATTCGGGTTCGAGGTTGGGAAAACACAAACCCGACCTCGACTCGCCCCGTTGCCATTCACAGTGAAAATGTGAGATTGAAGTGAGTCTATTTTGGGCTTGAATGGGATTGAAGTGAGTCTATTTTGGGCTTGAATGGGATTGAGAACAAGGGTTGAAGTTCCTATATTTCAATATTATTTTGTGATTATGTTATTGATAGATCCTCCATGAACATATGTTTAACTGTAATTAAGAATAATTGAGATAGTCAATATTGATTTTGTTCTTGATATAATTTGAATCTTAATCAATTCTCATCTCATTTCAACCAAACTTAGTTTCTTGTTTTCTTTAACTGTTTTAGATGTGACTCTTGCACATATGAAATCATAATTGATATGTTTAGTAATACTAAACATATTTCAAATACAACTTTGTTCATTTACTTTAGTAATACTAAACATATTTCAAACACAACTTTGTTCATTTACTTGCATCATTTATTAAATTTATTTTTTAAGGGATTTACCGAATCTATAATTCTGTAATATTTGTCATTTTTTAAGGTAAAGAACATACCCGTGATCGCAAAAGTATTCCAATATATTTATACGATAAGACTATTTCAGTTTTAGTCAAGTCAATCAATCTGATTAAGTGTATAAATTATTTATCAAAAGTAGTACTACAATATGAGAACAATAGTTCCATTTTTCAAAGAGTAGTCACGTTAGATTAATGAAAATGTATCAACTTAATGTGTGCGAAATCATATTCATCAAATTCTAAATAAAAATCACATGTCTCAAAAAATTTATGTTTATATATTTCTAACCAATCAAATTTCAATAATTATTATAAAAATATTAATTTATATTTTTATAATTTTTTAATTAAGTATTACTTTTATTTAACTGAGAACAGTCGATCACCATTCAGATATTTTATACGTGATTTTGTAAAGAATGAACTTGGTGCTAAGAGAAATATTTTGCATTTTTGTGGTAAAAAAATTGAGAAAAATTAGACTCGCCCTAATAGGCCCAATTGAAAACCCTACCAATTTGCAGTTCTTGATAGTATTTGAGGAAAGATAATAGATATAGTGATAGAAATAAAGTTCTAGAATTGATTTAGATAGCAATTATCAAACTTAAATAGATTGGAATATGAATACACAATAGATATTGTATTTAGAATAACTTGGAGGTTTTGGCTACAATTCATGCATTGAATTTCAAACTACACAAATGAAGGGTGAATGCCTATTTATAGGCTTTCTACAACACCTAGGAAAGACTATAAAGTTCCATGCATTTCTAGTATACATTGTCTCAAGGTTTCTACAGTGTTCTATAATTATTTTTCTATACACATATAATGGAATCTACTAGAAGCTTAGGATAATTATAGATTTAGGATATAACACCACTCCTTCTTTCTACACAAGTGTGGAAGCTTCTAGAAATATGCATCAATATTTTAACAGTTCTCTTCTTCATCGGCGAGGGTGCTCCGTTCTAGCCGATGGAACCGTCCATATTCGCAATTCCTCTATTGATCAGGTCTTACACATTCATTCGTTTTTATATCTCTTATTACTTAGCCTTATTTTCACGTTGATTATGTGATTCTGCATTTACATTTCATAATTTATTGTAATCTGGATTGGAGAATAAATTATGTGTAGGCTACGTAATCAATTATGTTTTTCTAATTCTTTTGCTGCCTTTAGAATAATTTGCTATGTGTTCTGTTTATTAGTATGTGAATACCCAATTTTGTCCGGCCTATTCTATGGAATCAAAAAATATTCGAAAAAAATCAAAAAAATAAAGAACACAACTTATTATAATGCGGATGTACATTGTACATATGAAGGTAAGTGATTGCATGGGCAACATCAATTGCTACCAGTTGCTAGACAATTGTAACCAAGAAAGGTTTTATTGGAAAGTGATGTGTTTAACAAAATTGTGATGTATTTTATCTGTGGGTTTTATTTCCTTGAATATTGTCCTAACTGAATTGAAGCACAACCCAAAAGCTGAAATATGTAGCACATAACAATAATTGATAAAAGTCATTGAATATTGTTTTTATCATCATAATATGTGATTTCTGAATTTGATGACTTAATAAAGCCTTAGTCCTACCATATACATGTTCTCTAAATTTTCCATTACTAACATATTCGACAACAACAGTCTTCTCCTCTCCATGCTCTGTGTATCCAGGTAACTTACAAGGTTCATGTGCTCATTTTTTTTATAAATGCTAGCTGATGCATAGGAAGAGGGAAACTTCCATATTGTTGCACTTGTGTTGGTACCTTCCGATGATGAATCTGTTCAAACATACAAATCAGAGACCTTTATCATTTCAGCAATCAAAGAAATAAGAGAAAGTCCAGCAATGAGAAACAATTAAAAAGGCTTATAGCTGTTACATACCTCTAAATAACTAGCCATAAGTTAAAATCCTAGAGGACAGCGTTGCAGGCCGTTAACTTGCAATCATGATAGGTGGCTGTATTAAAGGGCAACCTTAAAGAGGGCCTGAGCTGGCAAGAAAAAGGAATAGCAATCAGCCCATCTGAAATTCAGGAGGATAAATCAAAAGTCAATCATTATAGCTACCAAACTACAAATAAAAACCAAGAGTTAAGAGCTTCAGTTACGCTTGATATAATCAGTGGTTTTGATTAGTGTTAAAAGAGAGTAAATAGAAAACCAATAGCTATGGATGTTTCTGGCTATCAATGAGCAGATCAAGAGGTTCTCTGAAAAACTCTTATAAAAAGGAACACAACACACATACAAGGGGGGATACCATTGAGAAATAGGTATCACTCATCCCTCTTTCAACCACACAAGTAACATAACCAGCAGTCCATACACTCATACCACAAAATAACCAAAAAGCTATCCCACATAAACAAGTAGCCAAAAGACACACATCCACATTTTTTTTCAGCATACATACACCCCGGATAATACATAAAGTCACACACTCCAGAGAGTTCCTACTTCCACCATCTACACACTTATACAAAAATCACACACTCTAATGCCATTCCAGCAGCCTACATCACGACATAACCAAAGACCACATATCCATATTATTTATCCCCTACACACATATCACCTAGCTACGTTCAGTCACCATATTTGATATCCATCACGACAAATCGCATACATACCATACACAGAAAACCAGAAACATAAACACTAGTCATATATATAACACCATTATACAACAGATATCAACGAAGATCAACAGAGTATCAACAGGAGTCCTAACATAGAAGGCAGAAGGTAAAGAGCACACTCAGGTAAGATATGTATCTTATTCAATGAACATCAATAAAACTGCATTCCAAAAGTAAATAATCATGCATACCCTTTCATGTTGACTACCAATAATCAATGTTTAGTATATACCTCAATCCTTTTCATGGGGATATACATATTGTTATGTGATTTAAAACAGAAACAACCTATGAATAGAGATAATCCGGATTGTGTGTTAGCATTCGCAAGTAATTCATCAAGGTATCCAAGCAATAATAGCTGAGTGTAGCGACGTAGAGGGTGTATAGCTTGTTACCTAATCCGTTTAGTCCCAATCGTCTCAAGCATCAAAACAGTAGGTCGTTTATTTTTTGCCGCCACTGTCGCCACCGCTCGTCGGAGAAGAAAGAGGAAGGAGACGACCAACCATGAACCTGCCGTCGTGCTTGTCACTTCGCTCCACTATCATCGCCGTTGCTCATCGGAGAAGAGAAAGGAGAAGAGAAACTGCCATTGCCGTAGCTCAACCTCGACGCATCTCCGGAAGCCCCAAGCCGCCACCGTTGGTAGGAGGAAAACTGGAAGATTTGCGATTCGCTCTTCCTCCGTCTTCTCACCTTCGCGTTTTCTCCTCTCTTCTCACCTTTCTCTCTTCTTCTCACCTCCTCTCTCAAACCCCATCTAACCCCAAATGAAAAATCAAATGAAAACCCCCCACCCCTCAATTTCGAATTTTAGGAGAGGTGGGCTTCGGCCCACTCTCTTCAATTTTGTTTTTCCTTTTTATTTTTAGGCTCTATTATTTTACTTTATTTGTTTTATCTTATTTAGTTATGAATTCTTACTATTAATTATTTCAAATCTCTTTAAAATATGATGCGGCGCGGACATTAGTCTTACTACTTCATTTATCTTAAAGGTGAATAAATTTCAATAATACATTTTAAAATTATTTCAAATCTCTTTAAGATATAATGCGGCGCGGACATTAGTCTTGCTACTTCATCTATCTTAAAGATGAATAATTCCAATAATATATTTTAAAACTATTTCCAATCTCTTTAAGATATGATGCGGCGCAGGCATTAGTCTTGCTACTTCATCTATCTTAAAGGTGAATAAATTTCAATAATATATTTTAAACTATTTCAATTCTCTTTAAGATATGATGCGGCGCGGGCATTAGTCTTGCTGCTTCATCTGAATAAAATTCAATAATATATTTTAAACTATTTCAAAATCTCTTTAAGATATGATGCGGTGTGGGCATTAGTCTTGCTACTTCATCTATCTTAAAGGTGGATAAATTTCAATAATATATTTTAAACTACTTCAAAATATTCCTTGAAATTTGATGCGGCGCGGACATTAGTCTTGCTACTTCATCTATCTTAAAAATAAATTTCAAACAATACATTTTAATTATTTCAAAAATATTATATATCTTAAAGATAAATAAATTTCAACAAAGTATTTCAATTATTTTCAAAATCTCTTTAAGATTTGATACGGTGCGGACATTAGTTTCTGCTGCTTCATCTTTTCTTAAAGAGAATACAGTTTACATCGACATTTCAAATCAACTAAACCAACAACAATTAATTTTCGAACCAGAACTACGTAGCCTTGATTTCCCTATTGCAGCTAGTGATACGTATGAGCAAATTGAATGTTTGTTAGGCACAACAATAAAAATAAAACATTTTGCTTTTATAATTGAATTGTTAACAAATTTACTTAAGGGTATGAAAGTCCATGTAATTAGCGAGAGTACCGTTTTAATACGGGCGGACAGGTGCTAATACCTTCCCCGATCCGTAATCGACTCCCGAGCTCAGAATCTCTTATCAATGACCAGATTGTCCTAATCGGGCATAATTTAGAGTTTTCTATGTTTTATCCGCAAAAAACGTAGTGACGACTCCAAAAAAGTGGAAGAGGTTAAAATCGAGTTCGCCTCTCCACAAGTCGCAAGACCGGTATTCCAACCAAAAATCGGGTCACAACAGAGTGCATTTCACATTTTTTGGATTGACAAGAGTGTTTTATCCTACGGGATCATTTGCTGTTGCTATATTGATCGAGCATCACATGGTCACAGCTTAGCCTGGCTGAAAAATTGAACACGCAATTTGATCATGGAAGTTAATTTTTTGTGGTTTCAAAACTTGGAATATTAGTATTTGATAATTTTATTTGAAAAATATTTAATTATTAAACTTTTAGCTTAAATATATTTTTCAACCAATCATAACAAGTGGTATATGAAATGACATAAGTTTTGGGACAACAAATACTCTAGCAATTTAGTGGTTCAGTTATCATGTAATCTTTTATCTCTTTTAAAAAATGTGCCTACTCCTTTTCTTCCTTAATAATTCTTCAGAAACATTTGTAAAAAATAATATAAAATCAGAAATTATTGTGTTTGGTTACAATAATCGATTCTAGTCTCATTTTCCTAAGAACCTTAAAATATTTTAAAGGGTTTTGCTAACATAGGGAAAATAATTTTTTAGTTGGTGCAGGTTAGCATTGTGCACCAAAAAAATTTTGGACAAAATTAATCTTCTTATTTTAATTATAATAAAATTAGCAATAAAGATAGTTTTATAATTTCCATTAACTCACTCATCCCTAACATTCCCCCCATTAAATCAATCATCCCAAAACACCAAAACCATTCATCACCACTAAACCTTCCCACGCCATCGGAATTAGTATCACTATTGACAGGAATTAGTATCAACTCTAGCATAATTCATTTCACTGTCCTTAATGACTTTACCAAGCCTCAAACCATAGGAATTAGTATCACTATTGGTCATGCAAACTCTTATAGGTCTCAGAACACTACAATTTCTTGCTCTCGGCGATGTGGCGGTGTGTTGCGGCGTTGCGGCAGTGTGTTGTGGCGGTGCGACGACGATGTGTTGTGGCGGTGTGCTGCGGCGGTGTGTTATAGCGATGGTGTGGCGATGCGATGGTGTGTTGCGGCGATGGTGCGGTGGTGTGAGGAGGTTTAGTGGTGGTGAATGGTTTTGGTGTTTTGGTATGATTGATTTAATGAGGGAAGGGGGAAGGTTAGGGATGAGTGAGTTAATGGAAATTATAAAACTAACCTTACTAACTTTATTATAATTAAAATAGGAGGGTTAATTTTGTCCAAAACTTTTGGTGCACAATGCTAACCTACACCAACTAAAAAACCATTTTCCCATGCCAATTCCAAATACCCACAATATTGCCTTCCCATGCCAATTCTAGTGCCATGGAAAGAAAGGGAGAGAAAGGAGACCGAAATTGCGTCGGCAGAATTTATGGAGGGAGAAAGAAGCTTGTATAAGCGTACAAGCTTCAGGTGCAAAAAATAATGTAGGAGGAAGCCTCTATTTATAGAATGAGATTTTGTCACTACTCTTGCATCCTCCAATGTGGGACTTATGAGTTTTTCAATTTCACATCCTAAGGTCCACACTAATGACATCAAACTACACAAGTTCTAACAGAATCAATGTTGAGCGATTATGATAGTTTTTCGTGTATTTAGAACTTAGACGAATGCATAATACCAAGGAAAAAAATAATCCAAAAATTCATTCTTACACTGTAACAAAAATATTATTATACACTCTTCTAAAGATACAGACAACCACATGAAAGTAGTGGTGAGAGCATTTTCTTCCACTAACTCACTCTACATAAGGAATGTTTGTTATTGCTGCTAATGTTATATTATCTGCATATTTAAACCTATGTGTCACTATCACTCTGTCTTTTTGTCAAGACTCAAAACGCACACCCACAATTTAAGGTTTGTATCTAACACAAAACAGAAACTACACCAATCATCTTGAATCTGGTTCCGTATAGTAAGTAGTTGTTCATAGAAAAGCAGCGACAAAAGTAGCAGAGACAATAAAGTAAAAAGACACGGAGGAAGTGGTGCTCTCCTAGATTTCACGCCTCCCCTCATTTCATTTCTAGCCTAAGATTTCCAATTCCCACCTTAACTATAATCAACTTTTTTTCCTTTACAATATTGGATATTCCATTACTAGAATGTTATACCCAAATTGATTTGAATATTATAAATATATTTTAATTGAAAATAATTTGAAACGTCACATGTCATCATCCTGTATGTACTGGACCATCTAATACAGGAGATGATCCGTATTCACGCATATTAGTTTTCATTTTTAATAAATAGTTGACAGTATCTTAGAGTGGAATTCTCATTTTCTTTCCCTCTGGACTACTTTTATGCTTGGACAATTAGAAAAGGACAAAGGGAGGCTACCTAAAGGCATGTATATATGGTCCTTTTACCAATCTTAATTTCACCTTTAAAATCATTCATGTGTATATAGATACCGTAGTTCTTGTTGTAGTTGATGGATTAAATGCGTATAGAATATTTAATTATTATTTTGAACGGAAAATAAGCTAATTTAAACACTTTGTTTTGATTATTTTAACTTTGAGTTTACCCTGTTGGGTGAGTTTCCTGGTTCAAACCAAATTAACCAAAAAATTCGCTTTGGAAAAGTGTGATTGGGTTGATTCATTGGGATTAGACTTCCAAAAAGGAGCGATTAGAACAAAAGCAAGACATATACGAAGCCTGGTTGTTAGTAGTGCATGCCATGGTTCTAACTAATCAATGGGAAAATAAAGGACTTAAGTTCATAAAACGTTAGGGATTCTTTGAAATGGCATAAACAAAAAAAGTTTAACTTCTTATAGTATCATGTTTGTGATTCAAAAGTATGAATGTTTTACCTCCTCGACAAGTGGTAAATGCTTGTAGCTTTCGATACATTTGAATGCAAATTTAATGGCTATTCTTTAAAAAGTATTCATGCATCTCACTAGCATTGAAGATGGCACCAACAAACCCCTAGTGTCAAGTTTCAAGAGACAAAATGACACTCGTGAATTGTAGAACATCCTTGGGAATTGTGGGAAGTGCACAGAAGAATGTGGTCTATGTCCTTTGTTGACTTCAAAATATTTTATTTTATATACATATATTTTACAAATTTTCTCTCACCTCAATTACATTTCCCTTTCTATCCACACAACACAAAACAGTAACACATACAATTAAATGTTTCTGTAAAACTTGGCATACAATTCCTCCTGAATAATCAAACTTGCCACAACTTGAGATAGAAAATTTGAATCAATTCACAATTGAACTTTCAATTTGTTCTAGAAAAATAACGTGGATAAAATTTTCAAATTACAAAAGTATCGTTTTCTCTGCGGGTATCACAGAGGGGAAGTGACTTGCTCATGCTATCCATGGCTATGACCATTGTTAGTGCTGGTTTATTGGATGCAAAACTAAAGAGAAGTTACTGTTGTACCATTGTGCTGATCATGAGTTGTCCCTCCAAATATCTCTATTTAGTGGCTTAAGGTTTTATTGCCTCTTAGTTTATTGTCCCACACCTTAAAAAGATATCAGTCAACCCTAGTCAACCTAACTCAATGCCTTTGTCATTTTTTGTTGCAACCACAGCCATCCAACAAGATCGAACAGTGTGTAAATTTGACTTTCACTTCCCTTATACTAAATTATATAACACATTTGAACCATTCTTTATGAACTTTAGCACAGAACTACTTATTTTAAAACCGCTTTAACTTACATGTATTTAGAGAAATGACAATGTAAGAATTTTTACATTGTTATTGTATCATATACTATTTATTTTTAATCATTTTTTTATCAG